ATCGATTTTTAATAGAACTTGAACCAGACAAATAAGTCTACCAACAATGTGATGATATCTCAAACACAATTTCTGTAAAAATGGACTGTCGTGCATACACCAACTGGCGACAATACCATTATATTTAAGCACATCTATTATCCGAGTTATTATAAAAACGATCGATAAGCCAAGCAGTTAATCAGATTATAATTAAGGACAATATTGTTAAAGTCTAACAATAGCCAACATCCATGTCTACCGCCGATTGGTCTAACGTATTCAATTTTTATTTTCCATGAATTAATCTCCTGTAATGTGAGATGATGAATTCTGTGTTATCAATATGCAAATTGTATCTTGTCACCTGTAAAAAAAGAACTGTGCCTGATGTCACAAAACATCCCACTAAACAAACAAACAAACTTGCAGCGTTTATGCGCACCTGAATATTATCTTACACACAGAAATTTCAGTCAACAAGGTGAATAACCGCATCACTGTTCTGGTCATAAAGTAAACTCATAGATTATTTCAAATAAGCGTGATTGCTTAAATTGCCTCTTGGCTCGTTTGTAGTTGTTAATTTATGAGACATGGTTTAATGATAACGACAACGATAAGCTAATACCGCCTTCATTACATCAAGATCTGAATCTAAAAATTCACAAATACATGTCCAGGTTGATATATTACTAAGAGAATAGGGTGAATATTTACTTTCACCAACACACACACACACAAGGGGACCCATTACACAAAATCAAACAGGGTGGAATCCCATGCCCGCCACCTACTGGACACAGAATATATGACAGACATCAAAGGCATTTCTTTTAATAGTCAATATATATGCATGTATATATCACTTAAACAATGAGATTAAAGTTTAGCTTTTGAGTCTGCAATTAGTCAACCTTATCCTACATCCTGGCATATAAATACTGAATCCAGTAATGCTCCAAGATGAATACAACTTTAAATTTACTTTACTTAACAGTTTTAGTAATAGAATTTAATTTGTGGATGGTGACTAGCAGTGGAATCCAGGATGCGCATTTCGTCCTATTTGGGACTCGTCAGCTGGATGTGCCTGCATTTCCCAGTGAGTGATGATGTTCCCACCGAGGCTCGAACCTATGTCAATCTGAGACCGAGCACATCGGTCCAATCAGTCGACGGGAAAATCTCAAATTCAATTGAAGTTTTAGTAATAATGCATCCTCATTTATATTACGCAAGAAAGTACAATGGAAAAATGAGTGTTCAAGAGAATTTGCTGACTCTGTAGTCGGTCAGATTCAACTGACGCATTATTGACTAGGAAGAAAACATTCAGTGGACAGGATAAAGAATACGAATAAGAAAAAAGTGATTTTGTTTCTCCTCTCTCTGTCTCTCTAGACGATACTCTTGATGTTAGGAAAACACATAAGGGTTGTGTTTACAGAAAAGAGACTGTTGAGTTAGGAAATTCAACAGCCTCATATAGACTGGCGCAACAAACGTGTAAAGAACACCTCATTTCATTAGTTTTTTGTTTTAAAAAAAATTACCATTCACTCAGTGCATAATAACAAGCACCTGTATTGATTTTTTACTTCTAAAATAATTCCTGAAGGTAATGAATAATATTGGCGCGTGATAATCTGTTATACCCTCCCCCTTTAACTTACACTTACAACAAAACCACCAAGTAATAGGCTGGATTTAGAAACAGCTGACAGTGACAGAAAAAAGCAAACAAACTCAAAGATAAATACAGAAACATCTTACGCATGAAATAAGTAATATAGTGACACGACCAAGGATGTATGATAAGAGCGGCGGGGTTGGGGGTGGGATAAAGCAGAGAGTATCTGGCACTAGAATTAAACAAAAAATATTATAAGCGAAGACATGAGATTTTGAAATGAGAGTAACGATAAGATTCCAGGTTAAAAGAGTACGGAAGAGGATATATCGTTGCCGGAGAAGTAAAAAGGGAGGAGACATTGCATAACCGTCTTCTTAACACAAGAAGAAAAAACACAGTTGAAACTATACAAAACAGAGCACTGTGGTGTATTGTAACATGTCAATTACAACGTGAAATTAAAATATAGTTACTGATATTAATTATAAGGGTCGTCACATTATGAGTAGATAAGGTATATATGCGTACACATCTAGCGTGAAATGTTTGAAAGATATCACAAATATATATATATATATATATATATATATATGAAATTATGTAATATTATTATAGTCAATAAGTGAACACATTAGAAACAAAGAAACTGGTGAAAAGAAAATCAATGGAATATTGAATGCATATTAGAACAAAATCAAAATTACCAGACAAAAAATATAAGTATATTATGAAGTCAATTAGTAGATGATAAATAAGTAAATAAATGATAGAACTGTACATAGCACGCTATGGATAATAATAAAATTGTGCTTATTTGACCTTTTTCTAAAAGACAAAACGTATTCAGGAAACTGGTAAATCTTTATATTAGATGTATAGTCAGTAAAAATAAGGAACAAAAACACAAGTTATGCGTGAATTACAGGAATTAGCTTGTAGTATGATGCTTACTTTCAACAAATCAATCATATACTCCTAGAAAAGTAATGCTAACGACTTAGTGACCATTTTACAGCATTTGATACACTGTATCACAAACGCAATGATTTCATAACAAGATCAGCAATCGGACGGAAATGCAACGTTGAACCACGTATTCGTTTCAGTCGAACACCTCGCAAATGCACACGTGGTAACTGACATACCTCCATTTCCCAATGAACTGGATCGCCACGCATAAGTCCACCATGAGTTGGCATGTCAAGAGGTGAAGACAACTGAGTGTTTGTTAAACCTTTGGAATCAGTTTCTGAAGTTGATGTTTTCAGAGCAGGTCGATCAGCTGCCCATGAGCATTGCAAAAGGAAAGGAAGATGCGGGTCGTATGAATAACGACAACCAGGAGTGACTTCAAGAGCATGTATAATGCTCTTAAGAAGTTCGTCTGCTGTTTTTGTGCTTGTGGTATACACACTCCATGGAAACCTCACCTCACGAGGTTTATTTAGAGGTCGTGTAGATGAACTGTCTGGTCGTACGTCTGTTGATTTACTGAAAGTGGAAAAAAAGGGAGTTATAAGGTTATTTGCGACCGATGCAAGCACGAATAATTTTACAGGTTAATGTTAAATCTATACCATATAATTCCTCGAATTTACAAAGATACTCAAAATTGAATTTCTCTTGAATATCCAGCACAGAGAAAAGGGACAAGAAATAACACTTATTTGGAATACAAGCTTTTTAATCAAGTACAGTCGAAGAGCAACTAAAAACGTAGGTATGATACTTCGATGCTCTATTCTAGGACTCACGAGCAAAGTCCAATCTGAATGCAGATTGACTTGTACTGTTTACACATTCAAAACAAAAATGACGTTAAATTCATTGTTTTCTGCTTTGTATGTTATAAAGAAGCATAGTTCTCCTTCGAAAGTATATATATATAGTTGAAGGAGAATATGATATTTCATTACACAAACTAGTCTGACTGTTACAATAAAAAGACAATAACGCAGTCGACATAATATGTAGAGTATTAAGTGAAAAAGAGGAGCTAAGGAAACTTACTATTATTATTTATTTATTCCTTCACGTTCCCAGTGGAACATAGGGCTTCAAGCTAGAGGCTTGAAGTTTCTGTAGCAATGTTTATTTTTACAGGATGGGGTTGCTAGCCTCATGCCCAACCTTTCCTCTTTACCAGCTTTTTTATTACTGGCTCAGCGAGATAAAGAAATGCGTCGGCCGGGGATCGAACCCCGGACTATGTGCATGGTCGCCGAGCATCCTAACCGTTGTGCTAAGGAAACTACTCCATATTTATAAAGATTCTGCACAAGCTAAAAAAAGAACTTTTAATCGAAGCCACACTGACGCCTAGTGTTGGTCAAGAACACATTCTACCAACCCTTCACAGATATTTACCTTAATGTAATTCCATTTTTAAAAATAACTAAACAAACAGTCTACCAACGTGCACCAGGTGATTTGAATACCTACTAATTAAATCAATGGCAATCTGCCGATTCAAAGTTATTCTACATAATTTCAACAACAATTCAACCTTTCTGTCTGATTTTAGCACTGAATTTTACACTATGCACACATATGCTTAAAAGTAACAGAAACAGTCACGACAACAACAACAATAACAACAACAACAATGTCGTCTCATAAATATGATTGCACTACTAAATTAATAACAAGTGAAAAAAAAGCTTTATACGTCATTTTGGTCTACTTTTGCACGCTTAAAATAAGTAATAAGAACTGAATTTCAAACTATTTGTCTGTCTATTCGGTAAGTGTGAAGCGTGCATGTACTCACAAATTCAAAGGAAAAAAAATTACTTGAATGAAGTCTAACTAAGAAGAATGATTAGGATTAATACAACAACATCTAAAGTTATTTAGCACGTGTTTTAAAGTCTGAAAAAAAAACAACCACATTCTAAAATCATAAAAGCGCGTGAATTCTCAAGATAGAAAGATTCATATATATATATATATATATATATATATATATGTATATATATATATATATATGAGCAGAACACTTGATAAAACAAATCAAATAATCGTAGGCAAGAATTCACTACTAAGACAATCTTTGTTTCTATATATTTTTGGCAGCTGGAAAGTATCCAGTGCCGAAACAAAATTGTATCACCTCATAAAACGAAAACTGACCTTAATTTAAATTTTAACATAAGGGAAACTAACTATGCCAAATAACATTCTTTGAATTAGAAATTTATATTTAGATAGTGTAACAGTTTTAATCGTCTGAAACCCTCTCCACTAATAACATCATAAACATAGACATAGTTTAAATGAAGTAAAAAAAACTAATTCATTTCACCAAACATAAAGTGATAAATGTTAGTAGATTATGTGGCTATACGTAAATGTAAATGGATTTTTTAATTAACAAAGTACATACCTCTGTACAAAAAATCCACCTAATGCCTTTAAGACACCTCGACCCCACGTAGTTTGATGACTAGAATCCATACCGCTATAAAAAAAGAATGAACAAATTAAAACTGAATGGTATTCAGAATACATGTGAAAATATGCATGTAGTGAAAACCAGAAATATTCACAGGATACTACTCTATTATACATTTAGCAATTTTTCTTTCTACAGTAGGAGAAACCGAAATGATTTACACGTATAAAGCATATAAATTAAACGAACAAAATTGAAATTCATTCACAAAAACGAAATAAATGCTTCGTTACAAAAGCCTCAAGATAAATCACTAAAAGATTCACATTAACCGATAATGTTGAAAGCTTGCCCCAGTTAACAGCTTAATCTTAATCAATAACGTTATAGGACCTACAGATAACCAACTACTACGATGGTCTTCAGGAGGGGACAGTTGCATCAATCGCGAGTCCAAATAGCTCAGTGGTAACGTCTCTGACTGCAGCACTGGGTGATGCGGGTTCGAATCTCAGAAGGGACATCAGTTCCTTCAAGGTTGCAGATACGCCTTGCTAATGAGTGCCAACTAGCACGAAACCTAGGTGTCGAAGGCTTCCTGCAACTATCTAACATCAACAATTCAAAGTGCACCGTGATGGCGAGCTACCTAGAATGGTAGTCACATTGGAAACCTGACTGACAAAATTCAGTCTGCACCGAAGATAAGACTAGACACATCACACTAGTTACAAGTGTTCAATGAAAGAACAATTATATTCATTTATGAAAAATTCTAAAAATCGCTTCGCACTGAAGATATCTAGAGGAACAATGAAAACTTCGCAATTAAATCACCTAGCTCAGGGAAAACAATCACACGAAAACATCCGCCTGAGCTACAAGTCTCCATTACCTCAATAACCAACGTCATTCAAATATTGAGCGAAACAAAAATCGCCACAACATGCAGATAGAAAGTAATAGTGGATGATTGCTGACTGTTTTGCAGTATGCTCTTGAAGAGTAATCACAAACACGTACTCTTAAGCTTTGTTGAACCTAGTAAGGGTTAAGGTATAAAATCTTCTGTTCAGGGGATAATAACGCTGAATTCAGTGACGAAATAATCACGTAGTTTTACAGAAACATGACATTTTTCCTTATCCTGAAGACGCTCGATTATATCCTAGATTTACCGTGGAAACAGCGGTATATATTGTAACCACTCAACAAAAAAAGTTAGGAACAGCTAGTAGATTTCAACGACCTTTGAAGTCAATATGGCTGTGAGCAATCTGAATTCAGAAAGTGTTATAAGATCAGGTAGTTTCAAATGTAGTTTAGAATTATGAGATGATGTATGATAAACACAACTGCCTCTGATCGATATGAATGGCTGATTGTTACAATGCATTCTACAAAATCCCCATACTTATGTAGTACATACGTGGCATGATGCAGATTGATAGGAAGCGACCAAAACTGAAATCAACATTTTAAGTCAGTACCTGCAAAGTTTACGTTGTGGGCACGAAATAACTTCATCGGACAACCTTCTTGGCCTTGGACCAAGTGCCAACCAGTCAGAGCAATTTATTCTCCTCTGACCTAGCCGAACTTTAATATGGCTAAACTGTATAAATATGATGTTTTGCTAAAATAAAAACCAATTACGTAGACTATTATCTTCGCCTGTTACGCATATACATAGTCTACCTGATGAAAATAAACCTGAGAACACCTGGTTGTGAATACACCGTTTTGAGTCAGATGCCAAAGAAGAGACACATTTCTCAGCACTATACACCAGTTGTATTTCTTGACTTAAATCAGATATTTAATGCTGCTGAATGAAGGATTCTGTAAGACAATTTTATATTGTCCACAGTCTCACCACCTTATCATAGAGAACCTACAGGAAGATGTCACGTAGGATGCCTAGATTGAATAGTATCCATCAAGGATGTTCACCATCATCATCATCATTATAGCAAATAATTTGTGAATGTTCCAATGTACTCAATTTTCTTCCTCCAAAGAAGTTACTTAGTTGATTTAGAGCAAATATACAACACAGTCTCATTAGACAAAGGTGCTGCTCAACACTGAGTGAAAACCTAGGAGGTACTTTTCATGTTCTTGAGTTTGACGATTACTGATGATTTTTATTTCATTTTATTACCTTTTACATGGTGTGCGTACGTAAGACGTAGTAACTTCAACTATTACGCAGTAACACAAGGTTCAACTTTCATAGAATCCTATTTGTAAATTTAGTATACAGGATTCAAACGTAAACTGTACATAAGCAAAAGAAGAATGATGCAATTAAGGCTGATGATGATGTCAAGATTGGTGATGAAACGACCACGATTAAATCGTGGACACATACAATACTACCAAATTGTCCCCGAACAACACTTACTAACTCATGGTGTGAATAATAATTACATGAAATCCAAAAATTATGTTTAGAAAAAGTCACTCCAGTTAGAAAATCACTGACAACCGACTGAAAAAATGAAGTACAGCAATATGAGAAATATAATAACTATCCAATACTTACTAGTTTATAGATGAACGAGGATCGGAAGGTGTTTTAGTGGCTGAATGTGTAGATTGCAAACGTAAAGCTTCTTGACGCAGAGCAACTGCTTCTGTACCCTGAACTGTATGTGATACTTTCATTTGTGGAGTAAGGGATGGAGCGTTTACTGTTTTAGTTGCATCATCTGACCACGTAACATTAACTGTTTGATCTGTCTGATCTATGGTGGTGAGACTGCGACTAAGTTCAGATTTTTCATTTCGAAGACTTGATTGTTCCGACTGCATATGTTCTTTATATTGTTCTGATATATCCTGACTAAGACGCCCATCATTCTGCACCTTTCGTTTTAATTCCGATGGAGTTTGTTGGGGAGAGCGAGGGTTGAGCGATGAAGCATCAACTGACTTCCAGACACCTTGAACAAGTGTAGCAGCTGTTTCTCGAAGCTCACATTCACCATAAGAATCAGATGAAGTACTGCTTGAACTCGCGGGACCCATTCCGTTGGTGTCCGTTGTACCCCGCTTGTGAGTAGCCGCATGCACAGAACGATGAGAGGTATCTGAGATGGGCTTTTCAGCTTCTGAAGTTATTCTGTTTGCTTTTGGTGGAAATGAAGCCTTATGACTTCCAGATGATATACTGGAAGTAATAGATGAAGGATGAGCGCGAGGACTAGACGAATCTGGCTTCAAAGAATCTTGAGAATCGCGTGGAGCTATATGTCGAGGTGTAGCTGAGTGATTTGCCGGACTACCATCTGTGTTGTCAAGGGGACCTGAAGGGGGATGATGCTGATTAGCTGGCAGACGCTTGTGTAAATGTTGCTGTTGAGGCGTACCAAAACCATGCTTTTTGACAGCACCGATAGGGACAGGTGCTGCAGTGATGACACCTCTGAAAAGCCAAAAAAGGAAAATATTTTGTTTTATTCTTAAAGACAACTAATCAGGGGAATAGGAAAAAATGTACAACATCAATGGCACTGGCGACGTGATTAATCTAGGCGGACTGATTGTTAAACGCATTTAATTGAATTGGTGAAGGTAGACTGTATATGATACCGCTAGATTGATGTACAAAGTAAGGATACACAAAACAATACTCAATTATTTCATCATCTTACTTTACACGATTTCTTAAAATGGAAAAATTTCGGGATGTAGAAGTAATCTTACAAATAATCATGAAATATTGAGAATCAATCCGGGACACTTTGGGTTAGAAAATATAAACACGTCTTATATTGAGCTTTTTGTATGAGAGTGCTACTGTGGTGTGAGCTGTCTGCTAGCCAAATTGGTAGACAGTAATTTAGGTCAATGTTTATGTCCCAAATATTGGTCATGTGAAAACAAGAACAAAGACTGACTCAACAACCAATCACATCAGACTTTGCGTAAGCGGATAAAATTAGCAGATAGATGATCTGACCTTCATGAAACAGCCACAAAAAAAAATGAAAGATTAACTTTCAGGGAGAAACAATCAATCAGAAGACTGTTTGTCTGCTAACAATAATCTATAATAATGTACATGAAAATCTATAAATATGTTTTGATTTCCTTAATGAACGATCTGTTGCCTGGCCCTTGTCTTCTGTTGTTACACTACAACACAGTGGTTTTTCATGTGATTCCGAAACTGAAAAACGACGTACCTAGGCTAGCCACCTCTTGTTGTATCTATCAATCCAGCTGCTCCTGTGTAACTAGCTATATTGGTCGTTGCTCTAGGGACTTAACCTTTCGTGCTAGGGACCACCTACTAGAGTTGCTAAATAAAGGTGTGGTGAAAACCATCGACAGTTCCATATGAAATCACTTCGTTCAAATAGGTCCCAAAGCTAGCATTGAAGTCTTTTTTCTATCATCTACCGAATACACTGCCTAAGGCCTCCGAATACCATATTCTCCAAAACAGCAAAAGTAATTGCAATTCACTTAGAACAACCAGAGCTATGCACGTAGAAGAAACAGGTTCAGCCATTACTGCTACCCTGGCTTGCTGTGGAACCTATAACTTCATAAATTCTGTATTACTTCCCTTAATTTATCTGATACTGAGTTTAGTGTTATATTTGTGCATATTATGACTCAAAGGTGCTTTTGAACTATAATCTATTGATGTTATTGATTTAATGTTATTTAAAACAATAATATTGTTGATAACAATTCTTTAATTACTATGGACATATAACTGTGGGACCTGATGAAGGAGTTATGGAAGAGAATATTTTTCCTTCACTAATCAGTTCCTTAAAATTTCTAATGGGTATCTTTAATCACTTTATTTAGTTTTTAATTTTGTATGATTTGATGAAATGTCATAAAAGTATGTTAGCTAACAGAAGTATTTTTCAAGTGTTTGTTTGTAGGGATTTGATTGGTTACAGGATTTTCATCATGAGCTGACATTAGTTAGAGAACCATTGGAAAAACTGGGAGTACTGAACAGCTGTTTCGTTATAGTTTGGGACTCTTCAGCAGTACGCACCCACTGGGATTCGAACCCGGTATTTTTTCAGAAGTATTTTTCACTGGATTCACAACTTCCAAACAATATTTCTTAATTTACCGAAAGGCAGTAGTTACAACTCTCTGCAACCGAACTCAAACAAACAATCACTTTTTCAAAGCCAAACAATACATGGGATAACATTAGAATAATTTTGACCTGTTAATCTAGTATAGGGTTGTTTTCCATGCTGAACAACATATAACAGTATCGTTGACACTGTAGTTAAAAAACGCCTCCTATTGGTTGTATCTGCATTACACAATGTTTTATTGAAGTGAATCACATTGAATATTTAGTCACATGAAGGGGTAATGAATAATGCGCTCACTTTAAAAATTACATACAAGCGATACACACGAGTTTAGTGATAGAACAGTCCAGTTCAGTCCTTTTGTATAATGAGTTGTTCTAATAATCGTCTAGTACAACAGGTTCCACGAGTCTCAAAGTTTAAGTCATTCACGTTATTACGGATTCAATATTGATTTTTTCAGAAATGAAGGATAACATGAAACTTGATTTGTTTATTGTGATACTCTTAAAAAATCATCCAATGTATTAAAATTTAACGAACTCAGAGAAAAGACAGGGATTAAACTCTCTGGAGGTCTTTATTTTACTTTTTGGTGGTTTCAGAGAAACTATTATTCCTAGACCAACGAAACTAAGAAACGTTTTATACAACTACTCAATAACTTTGTGAATTATAAAGAATCATACAATGTAGGTAATTACACGAAGTGAAAATACCGAATGTTTTACATTCACATTAAATTTATGTTGCATAAAAGAAACGTACCTCCCACCAGCAGCAGTTTTCGGTGTAGACTTATTATGACGTGCTGAAAGTGAAAAAGAAACTTTCTACAATAAATATTGAAGGTTGAAATATGGTAGGGAAAAGGGAATGACATGGACTGTTTGAAGATGAAATATTACTTGTAGTACCTGTGAATGCTAAGATAACTAATATAAATACGTGTCATATTCAGGGTACAGTTCCTGTCTTACACCCCCCCACCAAAAGAAAACAATTTATACAACTGAAATAAAATAAGAATTACGAGAGTCAGTTGTCAAGCTCTAAATGAGGAATCATGAACCTTTGACATTCGTAGTTGCCTCATATCAGTACATGATAATCTGCCTCATAATACATACGCATGGAAATTTAGTAATATATATGTAAAGCTATAATTGGATGTAATAGAGAAATTGCAGCTTTCTTATCCCATGGATTTTCTCGTAAAAAGATAATACATTTAAACGTCGTTCTTCCTAAGTCACCATCAACTGTCTTCCTCATTATAAGACAACATTTACTTATATATCACTCTCTAACTGTAAACTTACAATACCTTCCTGTTGAAAATTCCAGTTTATGCAATATTATCACTGAGCACTGGAAATGGTGCCCCAGATAATACTTCTGAGAACTGAATATCTATTAACCCAAAAAACTGTTATACTGTAACACGAATAGATGCTATTATGTGTTCGCTAAACATTTAGCCTTAAATTTTGCTATTCAACTAACGCTATGGTGATACGGCAAACTATGACTTGAAGATGTAGACAACATTAGATTCTACGATATAAAACACACTGGAAAACTGCATAATGCTTGGTAGAACGCTTGGCCCCTCTGAACAAGTGATACTTTAGAACTGAGACGGACCGTGAAAATCTCCGTTATTTTTGTGTACTGTCTGCATACCCTATAACTGCGGCTAGAAAGCCACAAAGAATGTATGCTAGTGGAAGTTATCTGGTAAAATATGACAGTAGACCATTAAGGCGCAACTTAATGATATTATTCATAAAATGTAAAGGAAATGAGTCGGTTATGATCTAAGACAAACGAAATTGATGACTGGTGACTTTACCTGAAGTCTGTTGTGAAATTCAAATGTGAACATAAAGTTAAAGGTAGGAGAAAAGTGGACAAAATGAGAAATAACATAATCAGACAAAGGGTACTGTAAGAGAAAAGACCAAGAGGGGACAAATAGAAAACAAGATATTATAATCAATATGGAGTGAGTATTAATGTATTGTAACACTGTCGAACTTTAATGAGTAGTTACGTGTTTCATTTACGTCATAAGTGACGCAATTTAGAGCAATCTATCCGTATCTGTGTTGTGATCCCCCTCACTACAAATCAACTGTAGTAAATGGGAATTTCCATGTGTGTGAAATGATCGGTGCACACGATCAATTCACTCCTTATTTTCAGGTAGGTAGACCAGTCACTAACTAACAACTTCAATTTCGAAGACGTCATCAGTAGTCGCAGTAGAGTAGACATCATTTTCATTTAGATTGCAACATCATAAACCTTCATGTTACTTCCTTTGTTTCACAATTTTTAGTGACTTGCCATAGTACTGTTCTTGTTTCCGTTTTCCCCATTGTTAAATTTTTGCTTGATGTACTGATGTGGAGTATAGAAGCTTGAAGTCTAAGGCATTATTTCCATATCCTGTGTTGGGTCTGCTGGATCTTTCTTGATTGGCATAGATTAAAATTTCCTACTGTGAAGTAATTACACTAATTTTCAAGTGTTGGTATGCAGGCATTCGACGTCAGTTTGTGGTCTATAAGTTGGAATTAGTTACCACAAATCAATTAATGATCAGATCATTTCTATCTAGCTTATAAACCATTTATCAATAACTTTAACACAAACTGGAAAACAGCAGAAAAATACCTGTAATGGACTGAGCATTAGCACGGGTAATACTGTCTTCATTACTCGTAGATGCGGCTCCACCTCCAGCAATAGTTCGACCCATTTGCATGAATGCCCTTCTTAGGGCTACTGGTAAAGTGGATGTCAATGAATGATGCTCTCGATTTCCAGAATCAGCGGTAGAAGCATTTTTCTGGTTTCCAGGTGTTTGGTTTGACTCTGATGTTAAACTACCACGCTGATATTGAGAGGTATGTTCATTCGTTTTGACACTTGGCGCTACTGTGAAACGTCCGATCGCAGTGGATTTAGTGGAAGAAGTTGATTCTGTGTTACTTGCGGGTTGATCGTGAACACTTTTACTCTGTCGATCGTTAGTATATAATGCATTAGATAATACTGCAGTGTTAGGTAGTGCAGCTGATGCAGGATCTACTTCTTTGCAAAGCCTATCAAAAATTAATATGACATCGGTCAGAAATAGGGGGATGTAGATGTGCCGCCACAGACTTACTAAAAACTAAAATTTAATATTACCACAAATACAATTAGCAGAATCATTAGATGCCCACCGGCAAACTTAGCGAAACAAACAACTAAGCAAAATGATGGAATAAGGAAAATTTAAGGCAACTGTGTCTCATAGGATTTTACGCAAACAAAGGAACTAACCGACTAGTCTAGTGCAGTATGCTACCGAAGTGAATTAAAACCAAGTGTACAACATCCACATAATTATGCATACCAACCTTTTTAAGGATTCAAATAAGTTTTGATTCTGAAACAGTCGAATCTCTCATAGAAGTTCATTTAGTCCAAGTTATCACACTTAAAAAGAGTACATGCAGGAAAAGAACAAGAGAACATACAGAGAAAGACAAAACACTGAACAAAAATGTGAAACAAGGAAATGGTGAAGTGAAGACTGATGAAACTCCAGGACTTTGAACATGACTACGACTGCATGCTTGTACCATGGTGAATGATTTCTGGGTTAAGTCCCCAAAAATCGCTAACCATCATTTCTTATCGGCCTGGGTATCCCAGACAGGCGACCACACCTTTCTACATGGTTCAGAACGAAATTCAGTGACCGTGTGAACTCTGCCTTCTGCATAGTCCAAAGCAAACATCTATTTCTTCTATGGCGTTTTCTGAAATAATGAGATTAGGTAGTTACTTCTTGTGGCACATAGAAAGCGGAGTTTAATGAGAACATTGACGCCGGTGAGCATTGATCAACTGTTTTTGACACCCTCTTAACAACCAGAAGTCACATCCTTTGATCGACAGAGTAGAATTTCGTCTTCATATAAAAAATATTACAAGTATTAGGCGCCAGTGGATATGTTTATGCTGAAAAATCTGCCAAAAGGTAAGCTGTGATTGATAGATCTCATGCATACTTTGAATCTACTTGGTTGTCTTAGGCTTGTGGCTTCTTCCACTAGGCCTTTGAATGTTTATAGACCCCATCATTTTGGCAAAATACTTATTTTTGTGGATATCCTCCAACTAGAAATCTGAAAGTTGAGGTTTGAACCCTAAAATTTTAACCGCAACTCCAAAGTGTTAATGAAAATTATGACAAAGGCAACTGGTCCACTCATTGCCCATTTTTGAATCATCACTCTTATTAGGCTTCCTATACAGGTACACAGTTTACTGCACGACAATATTCACACAAATGCATACAAAAAAAGCATGACCTAACATAATATTGATTTAAACTTTGGCACTTCATTATTGCAGATACATAGACATTGGAGATCGACAAAGGTAATGATTTGATGAACTGTGAACAGCAGGCATCACAAGATTCATGGCACTGCATTCCACTGACCCTTGATGTGTGTGAAAAAACTGGTAGTTATTGCTACAGCAGTGACGGTCACAATAACCAGATGTTAGGACGCAGCTCTGAAACATTCACGTAGAATTTTATTCTATTAGATAAGTTTTATATTTTGAATTAGTCAAATAAAACAGGCATACTGAATTCCCAACTACTCAAAAATAGCGATCAGTTTTCTGAAATAATAATTTTGCAGATCAAATAACTTATAAAGGGTGGGTAAGACAAATAACAAGTACTTTAGCTCTCTAAAGCATTACTGTGTTAAACAATCTGCGAATAATTTGATAAGTGACGGCTAGCTGTGAAGTTCAGAACAAGGTTTTCATTCCATGTGCGACTCGTCAGACGGATAGATCTGAATTTGAATAGGTGATGTCTCCATCGAAACCCGTGGACTCAGTACAATATTAAACAGCAGTATGATATATGAAACTATGGGGCGTTTTTGAATTTACTGTAAATTTGTCAAACTTATAGGCAAGCTAACAGGTATTGTCTATACCAGTACGTTGAGGTGGCATGAGAAATTAATTGTGATTTTCCAACAGCCTATTAATATCCAGACAATAGATATGGAGTTTAGCATAAGACTATTGCATCTGTAGTTTGAGGGAGATAATAATGCATCTGAAAATAAGTACATAGCTTATGACGTTAGTATCACACACTACGACCATCAGGAAGAAGAATACATTTCTACACCCACATCGTTGAAAAATGTTTCGATTTCTCTCATTTGTAACATATGCTGATACCGTTACTAGTACAGGAGACAAAATAGTGAACCATAACATGCCATTCGATAACTTCAAAGTAAACAGAAATAAATAGCATAGAAAGAAGTAAATATTAAACAAATAGCCTATGGTTAATTATGTACTTATACAGTTGCAACAGTATTATACTATAGCATGACTATTTATGTTCACTGTATTGCTCTAGTGCATGAATTTTCCACATAATGAGATTAATTTAGTGAGCAACAATAAGAAATTTTTTTTAAATCCATAAATGAATTTACTGGTACTTACTCGACAAACTGAGATGGAGTTTCAGGAAGTAAATGATAAGTTGCATACACATGATCAAACTCAGGGTTAACAACTGATGACTCTAAATCTTTTCTTGTAAAACCCATTTCCTCCATGGCTTTTACCCGACTATCATCCAGTTGAGACTTCGGTGGTTCTTTGTACGGGCGAAGATGATCACCTGGAGCATAACCCATATTGACCCACTTATCCTGCATTAAAGACTTGAAGAGAATATAAAAGACAACAGTCAATATTACGTTTACTTTTCCATAAAACTATGTATTTAAATGGTTACCATGAATGAAGGAAACTCTTCTGTAATTTGTAATATAAAGTGAAAAACTCACTGCTAACTGTTGAAAACATACCTTTATTTTAAGTTTGTGAAAAGGTCAACATAACATAATAAGTGAATTCAACTTCACACTCTTAGACAGTCAGACAAACAAAAAGAGTATGTTACGCTATATGAGGGTGTATGAATACGCGTACCCAAACACCAAAACAGACAATTATACAGGAACAATAAGAAAGCTGTGTTCGGCAAGGAGTAGATGATACAGAGTAAATACACTTACATGACTATGATCAACTTCGAAATATTATAACTACTGAGCGAAGATCAATGACTCAAACCAAAACACCAATGGACAATAGTAGTAGTGTATGTGACATTACAATGAATATATACAAACTTAAAACACAGACTATAAAGGCGAACCTTTGACAACTCTGACTACTAGAGATTTTGTATAAGATACAATTGTCTTTTTAGATAAAATATTCTGCTGTGCGGAAAACATGCTCAACAATCAGAGGTACACACACCTATTATAATGACATGAAATGCATTCATTCCGAGTATATGATGCTTGCTAAGAGGAAAATAATACTAAATATAACTTTCTAATTTCAAAATCACATTAATGCTTATATTGTGTTAACAGACAGAAGATCAGTAGTTCAGCGAAGTCTCTTTTCGGCGAATTCATTTTCATAGCTGTACAATCGCATACATATATGGTTGTTTTGTATGCGTGTGTACATCAAATTTGCCAAACGAAAATACAATTAGTAAGTTCAGATGAATTGGATGTTGAGATAAGAGGGTAGTAACAAGTGATCAGTTATCACAAAGGATTGTTAAGGAAGAGTCACGTAATAACATGAATACTTTGATGAAAGAGTTATGCTCAAGGTGTACATGGAAACAAGATAACATACCGAATTACGCAAGATTTTTAAGTAGTTAGAAAAATAAGCATACAAGCAAAAGTTAAGTCAAACCAACAGAGTTGTTACCATGATAGTAGAAGTGGTTGAATAATTCTCGTTTGTATGCATAGTTCTGGTTCTTCTAACTGAATGGCTAGGGCTTCTGTAATGCAAAGAAGACGGAAACGTATTGTCTTTGGCAGGTTGTTCTTCACTTTGTAGATTACTTTGAAGGAGGCGTTTGTTGAGATGGAATGACCAGTGATGACGAGATTTTCGATTATTGCACTCCTTATACGGCCACTACTTCCTTTCTGCAGCCACGCTGAATAGTGTTCTTTGATAGGATGCGCGTCGAACGACCGATGTACCTGACTCCACAGTAACAAGTGACCTGACATGTACACATAGAAGTGGTCAGGTCCGGGATCTTGTCCTTTGGGCTTCTGCAAATCAGAGGGCGACAAGAGAACACTACTCTCAGTGTTGCCACAAACAAAGTTCCTCTTAAAGAAGTGGAAATTCTCCTCCTAAGGACATCACTGAGTAGGTCACCTTTGAAGTTGAGGTTCATATAAAGTATCATTTTGGTATGGATTTTCTGTTTGATGTTTTTGTCTATGAACCTTGGTGGATAACCGTTTTATATGAAGATTTCTTTCAGGAAGTGTAGTTCTTCTTCCAGGGTATCAGAGCTGCAGATCCGTCGGACGCGAGTAGCAAGAGATCTAATTAGGTTTCTTTTTCGACTGATTGGTACCCAGCTGTAGAAGCTTGTCAGTTGGCCGTTCCATGAGGGTTTCCTATGGATGGACCTTCTTAAAGTTCCGTCAGCTCTCCTTGTAAGTTCAACATCAAGAAAAGGAATTTTAGATTCGTTTTCAAATTTCAACAGTGAACTTTGTAGCTGAATGGCATTTGTTAAATATTTGTAGTAACTGATTAAGATCGTGACCATTATCACAAGTGTTGTCCGCATATCTAGCATACAATTGGAAATTATCAATAGTTGATGTGAGTGGGCCGTTCTTGAGGTTTGGTATGAAGCAGTCTGCTAGCATTGGACCCAGTGGAGATCCCATTTCAATCCCATCTAGTTGTCTGTAAATAACATCATTGAATGTGAGTTGTACATCTTTTAAACAAGTCGTCGGTAGTCCGATGTTCAGCTGGTTTTTGTCTATATATTGACAAATGTGACAGACAGTTTCTGTGAGTGGAACGTTGGTAAACAGTGACTTAATGTCAAGAGAGAGCATATTTTTGTCTGTTGCATTGATATATGGTATACAGTTGACGAATTGAAAGGTGTCACGAAGCGAATAGTGGCACATCTGTTTTCGTACAGGTTCTAAAATGTCAGCTAACCATTTCGCTATTGAGCGGTACAGGGAACCTAACATGTTGTGTTAAACACCGCTTGCAATGTTTTATTTTCCCGGAAGTTATCAAGCACTCAATAATGAGATTATATGATTTTAATTTAAACAATAAACACTGTGAATTTCAAACTATAGCTCACTTAATATAATCTCGGAGGTTTTGTGTTATCATTAAGCCTTACATAATGATTATGACTATAATGTTGGTATGATTACCCACAATTATACACCTATTCATGACACGAAAGCATATCTTTTTGATTGAAATTCAAAATTATTTACTTTTTTAAAGTGTAAAATACTTGAACACAGTGCCCACTGATATAATGTTAGACATCATAAAGATGAATGTTCCAACTATCTACGTGCTACAGCAATTTTACTACATTAGAATCCAAGATTACTTCGGTGTACTTTTAGAAACATAATACTGCAGTAACTAAGATTGTTAAACGCAGAGTTTTAATTTGTTGGGGAAAAAGAATTCCAGTTAAAATTTTCACTTCCTTCATGTACAAGAAAGAAAAGACCACACTTGTTCGTAACAACATACAACACACTACCTTTAAAAGACACGACTCCAGAGTGATCTTTGTTTATACGATTATACAAACTCAACACACAACAATCTATAGAATGAAGACGAAATATTGAACAATTTAGCAATATAAATCCTTAATTCTACATTTTCATCTGAAGAATTCCGTGAATATTTCTTCACTTACAACTAAATAATAACGAAGCATATTTTAGTTGAGACTGATTAGAAGGGAAAGTAAACATTTTCAGATAAGAATCATTTTTGAATGTCATTGACCCACCTATTACACAAATTCAAATGCGGGTACTGTCTGACTGACTAACAGATGAGCATAACAATTCGCATAGAAGTGTATCAATTTTACACTATCACACGTTAAACAACAATGAACAAAAATGTGTAAGAAGTAAGGGAATAATGAAACGAAGACTGATGAAACTTTCCAGAACTTCAAACACGATTAAGACTGCATACCTGTACCATGACGAGTGATTTCTAGTTAAGTCATCAAAAATCACTAACCATCATTTTTCGGGTATCCCAGACAGTCAACCACACTTTATCACAGGGTTTAGAACAATAATCGGTAACTTCATTATTGGTTTGTAGCCGTTTCATATTTATTTTCGGTCGTTAGGTTGTAAAAGGTGAGCCACTGAGTAGTACATGCGTCAGGATATTCCACTGGAGCCTATGATGAGACAATTGGTAAATGAACTAGTGCATATCCATAGAGATAAACTAGGATAAATATTGATATATAAAAGTAAAAAATGAGTCAGGAGAAATAATTTTTAAAAAAAACACATACTTTTAGAGACGACCGGTCTTTTGGATCTAGAACTAGCATTTTCCTTAAAAGGGCATCACATTCTGGCGAAACAGAACCTCTAGGTATAGTATAGTGCAGCCCCAAAATTTTGCTTCGAAGTTCACGAAGATCACGTGCATCGAATGGCAGATGACCCAGCACTAAGGTAAACAAAATAACACCGAGTGACCAAATGTCCACACCAGGTCCATAATATGGAATGCCCTTGAAAAGTAACAAGAATGCACCAAAATGGATTAGACTCATTAATAAAAATTCCATTAAATTACGACTATATGATTTATTCAAGTGAAATACTTATGCAAACATAAATTAAATTTATAGATCTAAAGGAATTTGAAAGTCTCTTAATTAAGCAAACATCCAACATAAGTAACATTCAATTTGACGATTGCCTGGCTTAACGTCATCAAAAGTCCATAAATGATACCAACAGCTGTTGCTTCTACTCTATAAACATACCAACGCGAAATTTAGCACGAAAATGCAGCACTCCACATAGCACACAAACAAGGAGAAAAAATCCAAAGGAACTATAATGAACGCAGAGGTGTAGCAGACAGTAAAATTACGTGGAATAGTGAGAATTTAATGGGTTTAAGAAATTGTAAAGAATGAATACATCTGCACCATTGAGAACGATTTCGAGCCAGGTCAACATCAGTCTTTAGCTATTAGTTCTAAGTATTCCGATGAACCCAACCAAGCACTCTACACCTTTCTACATGGCTTAAACCAGCTGTCAAAAACTTTACAGACAGATGCCATGTTTTGATTTGACCACCCATAACTCTTTTCCAAATCGTGTAAATAAGCTAACATCACTCGATGAGGAAGGAGATGCCTTAGCACGCATAACATTTCCTAGCCACCTTAATTGAAGCAGCATCACAACCTCACCAACTGACTTGTTCTTGTTACATAACACTACATATAATCTCAATATTGCTAACCATATTATACCACTTAACAAGGGAGACAGAACGCAGACACATATGGTCAAAGACAACTTGCCTCTGCTTATCTTCTTTCAACGACCACGTTTCAGCCATAAGGAAGGACGGAGCAAACTTATGCACAGTACATACAACCTTTGATCGATGGCGGAATATCTCAGCTACGTCATATATGACACACCTTCGTAAATGGCAGACAAGCCGTTTGTATTCATACTGAGATTCCGTCAGCAATGTGTCCATCAGGGCTAATGAGACTTCTGAAATGGGTGAACTGATTGACACTCAATCACTTCACTTCCCATCTTTAAACTAGGGGCCGGTGTGGACCAGTCCTGTAGCATTTTATATTTGATGGGAGTGAATAGAGTGCTAAACTAAACCAAAACTTTCCCTATGATTTTCTTTACTGGGAGGGAGTAATTATTAAGTATTAACGCCCTTTTAATATTCTTGAATTCTTCAATATATTGTTTTCGGGTCAATAGTTAAAATCCTAGCTCGTTTGTTAATCATTTTTACTACGACTGCCTTAACAGATACGGAATGAGAAAAAAAAGCCTGGATACATATGCCATAGTGCTTATCTTCGATAAACACTTATGTGACTTTTAATATGATTATCAGCAATAAATTGTGTTCGAAAAGTTAACCAGTAAACAACACTGTTACTATATGCTTTTGCTAAACAAACGAAATAGCATGAAATTACACGTTATAATAGGACCAATTTTTACTTGCATATCACTGGTAGCGACATTCAATGCAGTATAGAAAGTGAATAACGATGTACTGTGCTTTGTAGGTCAAAAATGCTGAATTTACATCCAATAAAAATCAAACTAGATTGAAAAGATAAAGCAGGTTTCAGTTGATTAATCTGATAATTTATGAACCGCAACATTTGAGTATTAGCTGTTCTTGAGTGAATGAGCAGCATGACACCATTGCTTGTTTAATGGCGCATGGGGAGACTAGCAAACAATCTAAAATTATCGCTTGACATTTCAGATTGCAAAGCACAACAACCTTCATACAGGTAATAAAAAGTCAGAATTTAAAATAAAATCGCAAATTGTCGTTAAACTCTAGAAAACAGAAGAAACGATAAGATAAATCGAGACACATTCTGAGAACAACAAATAGTATGAATGAATTTGCAATTTGTTCTGGGTAACGTCACTCAGTCTCCAGCTAGGTGCTTCAGTTATTATGTAAACCCAAGTTAGGTGATGTGCACATTCCTACACAGCTCAGACAGAAAGTGGTTCCATGTGAATTGGAACTGTTCCTTAGTTTAACCCCCCCTTGGCTTTCATAAAAGTTCATCTTTAGCTGACAATAGGGAGCGGTAAGGCGTAATACATCCAGGGCGTTTGGGTGAGCCTTTGAGTGACTGATAATATTTATCCTCTAACGGTGAAAATACACACCTTTACAAAGGTGACACTGCCAAATCAGTCATAAAATATTGGTTCAAATACTTGTAAGCACCTTGTGAGATTTATTTTCGTCCCCCATAAAAGATAGTGTCATCTTTGGAAATATGAGAGCACTTTTGCAAAGTATGCCTATAACACTTTCACCAACAAATGTACGTTAAACATAGGTCTTCACAAGTCACAGTTGCAACTGCTGCTATCTTCATACTTATTGCGTCTGAAAACATGGCCTCAGTGTTACACTCACATATCAGGCGTAGGATCGGTAAGAACACTTGAACATAGAAGATGAAAGTCTATCGAATCGCTTGAGAGTAAAAGACAGATGTTGAGTAATATCACTACTACAATCCTTCAAATGCTCACTTTTGATATCTAGTGAAGTGGTGTTCAGAATACGCACTAGCCTGAAGACTAGTAATCCTAAGCTATTACTCTGTCCGGTATTTTTTAAATAAATTATTTAGGATGGTAATTACCATAACGGACTCGGAGTAGGTTAGGAAGGATTGGTCACATTCCAAGGATGGAAACTATCAACGAGTGCTCTAATGACAACTTCTGGGATTGGTTTGCATAGCCATTAAGGTGGGGGAAGAAACTATAGAGGATAAATAAGTCACTTTGGAAGAACAAGGTGAATCCGAACAAATTTACTAGAGAAAGAGATAGTGTAGAGATAATAAATTGCTTGTTCATATGTATTCATTATTGTCAGTAGGGTACTTGATAAGATGTTTCAATAAGACTTAATGAAGAAACTTGTAGACACCAAAACATTGTGATACAACTGCACACAAGGCACGGAGAATTTCGTAGTCAATTAACAAGGATTCAAAGCGATTTGGTGAAGAGATGTTTAATGATATATCCAAGGTAAGTGAGACCACCTCAAATAATGCAGAGAAGTAGTCAATCTTTTTTTACAGAAAAAACAAACATTCTGAGACGTATACAATGACTATGTTGAATGTACTTTGCATCGCCACTATGGCAAGGCAGTTTAAAGCTTTACCCTTAATGCGAGAAGGGATCCAGGCTTACTAGTGAGTAGCATCCAAAATAATGATTCTCATGTATCCCACTAACTCGTTTTAGAACTCTGAGGTTATCATAAAAAGGTTCAAAAGCCTTAGTTGAATAAACCACGGTGGAAACCAAGAATCTCTTCCCATAACGCTCAATGACTGAAACCTATTACAAGAAATTGGGACTCCACAATGTTAGTTTTAACACATGGTAATTCGCCTATTATTATAATAAGTGAGAACTACCACGCACGACACAAAACCAAAATAAAACAAACATAAGATGGTTAATTTTCATACCGATAATAAGAGTTTGTTATTCGATGAAAACTATCATACGGAAAATCTCACATGACAATGTAAAATACTGATAAAACTAACCAGAAACAATTCTGGGGCGGCATACGGTGGACTACCACAAAACGTTGTTAACCTCTGATCATATTCAAATGTGTTTGCCAGACCGAAGTCAGCAACTTTCACATTTAAGTTCTGATCCAATAGAATGTTCTCAGCCTTTAGGTCCCGATGAACAATTCGTTTGGCATGACAATACTGCATCGCCGATAATAACTGGCGGAATTTTATTCGCGCCTCCTTTTCGCGCATTTTTCCATTTGCAACCAAATAATCAAATATTTCACCTAGAAAACATTATACGAGGTTCATACGATTACCTCCACTTGCATACTCCATAACAAGGCACAGTACATCTTCGTTTTCAATTATTTCAAGAAGTTTCACTGAAAAAATCTCAGAAGAAATGAGGGCTTACCTATGTTCGGATGGTTTGTGACCTTCATAATAGTGATCTCACGCTTGAGCTGAACACATGGAATGCATGGAAAAACAACTGACTTACACGTTTCAGGAGAGTATTATCCATGACAGTCTTGTTGATTATTTTTATGGCAACTTCAACTCCAGTGGCCATATGAATGGCAAGTTTCACTTTTGCAAAATTCCCCTTCCCTATAGTACGTAAGAGGCGATACTTTCCAACGTTGTTATTCACCACAGGAGGGGCTACAACGGGATCAGAAGTCACAGTTTCAGGAGTCTTTGAGATCGTTCCAGGCTCCGCATCATGGTTAACTGGCTCAGCAACTGGGACGACATCAGGTGTTGATGCTGGTACTTCAAAGCTTTGTTTTTCTGTGACTTCCTCAACATTAACAAGTGTCGAAGCGATATCAAACACTTCAGGTGCACAGGTGGCCATACTACTGGCATCAACCTCCATTTAGAGTAAAACTTGATAAACTAAATCACTAAATTCACCAACTATAGACAACATAAACCTTTACTCACTGGTAAATATTAAGTCCAGAACAACAGTCGACCGTTTGTCTAGCCCGCCATTATAGGACGCCCTTCCCGCTTACTGCCCTAACTCCACCATCATCAGACCAAACAATGTGAAGTGATGCATAATGACTTTTGGGTGAAACATGTAAGAACTTCAGCCTAAACAGTAGATTTAGACCAAAACTGATTGGAATTGTTAGTGGCTAATGAAAACATGGTACTTGAAGTACAACTAATCATCACATTAGATGGATTTAGTGTTCAGTTCTCCGTACTGACACAATTTGGGTACGCTTCGCGATAAGGAGTGAATATAGACCATACTGGTAATGAAATACATATACCCATCTGAATTTTCGTCACTCCGTCACTATTTAATTTATTTTAGATTACAGATTTTCATAGGTATTAAACCACAAGTTTATTTTAATGATTTCGATTTTGTGTCGTGAAGGTCCACTTTCGTTGAAATGGTGTACTCCGGTAGAGAGTTTCACGATTCTGCCACACCATTTGAACTTTGAGATGATATCCTCAAAAGCGGTCGGTTGCACAGAGAAGAAATGATCGAGAAAAAATAGCACTCAAATCATTACGTAAAATAAAGGGTGCTAGTATGTGATAAATACTCAATGGAAATAAGTGTACCCAATCTAAACTCTTCTTAAACGAGTGATCTTAGAATCTTTCGCGTGTTTGAGTTCCCATTACTTTAACTATTTTGTATTTGAAGCATAAACTAGCTCCCAGGACCCCGTATACCAAATTATTGCCGGTGAAAGTAGTAGATAACATGCGAAATACATCAGCGCCGAACATCACGAAGGACTTGTTGGAGCCCATAGTAATGTGAAGTCCTCGGCTTCATAGTTTTCTACCGTCTTTATATAAAGGTTCGCAACCACTCTTGAAAAATTATGCTTAATTGGCGTTGGCACATGATGTCTTCACTACGCATTTAATCTGAATAGCTATTTTAAAAGCACTTTACCTATAAGTGTTCCGAATGGTGGTCCTGCACTTTTTTTAATTGCCTGTATGGAAGGCACTTAAATATTTATTGGCAAAACGTCTGTTGATTGTCTTTTTTTAACATCCCAATGTCAAATTTCACACATTAAACTAGTGCAACATAGCTGACTCCGATGAACTAACTTCCTGGTGTCTACAGTGACTCGCCACCTGTGCGTTGACTTGCTCCCTATTATTTGCCTTCGTCTTTATCTAATCTCAAATCTAAGTGTTTCTGTTTATGGTTTTGGGACACACTGATAATATGTTGTGTTTAAGATATGGTTTCATTTTGGGGAAGTCAGGATCCCTCTGAATTGAACTACCTGTGTTGTGTCATACTTGTGGACAGAGTTTGGATCCTGTTTTGTCTTACTAATAACTGAACTCCTTACATTTTAATTTCAATCAACTAATTTTGTCCAACAGTACTTATTTTTTATTTTATTGTGTTCTCTGAGCTGGTCCACTAAACTACGAGGCTTTCATTTTCTCACTAGAGGATATTTTCAACATCAGCTTTGTTATGATGTGACCTTATTTGACTTCTCCATGATTAATACAAAACCTGTTTTAAAAAATCTGTTGATGTTTAAAGTGGTGGACTACTATAAATATAAGGAATGCAGTCGCGAAGCGCATCACAACAGTATTATGAGATCTAAAGAGGAAATTGATCGATAACAATGTTTAGCGATTCGAAATTCCGAGGGCGCCATCTGCTTATCATGTACGGCCTGTAAGAGAAACGCAGAGAATATTTCCCCCTGAGACCTACACTTTCTATGATTAAGTCCCTTCAGCACGAAATTAATCATTGGCTTGCACAGCAGATGGAAACTATTCATCAACTACCAACTTGATATGATTATGAGCAATAGTTTGTGCTCGAAACGCCATCAGTAAATATTACTGTACAACACTGTGATTTATCAAAATAAAATCTTATCCATAATGGACTTATGCTCTGCCACAGTGCCCAAGTTTTATACTTATGTCAATAATCTATTTCATTTCCCTTGAAGCCTGAACCCCATGAACGTCTCAAATTGGTACACGGCATCAGTTGACCAACTTCCTATTGCACTGAAGAGTGCACGCATATTAAAAAACAGGGGTGTTAGTGGACTGGATTGGTTATTCTGTGCACAAGTAGTTTTCTGACTTCTTCAGAGTTGTCTCCTGGCAACAGCAATATTTTCTGATGCTGTTATTCACTGTGTCTTACCCAAATGTTTAGGGTTATACGGTCACCAAGTTCCGGCTTCAGTGTCACTGTTGGTATTTTCTGGTCTACCCCTTTGATATTAAACCGATCAGCGTTCTTTGAGTTTCATTAGAAAGCAATGTTTGTTGACCTGGCGGTTATCGGCACTCTACTTGTTCTATTGTTAAACCTCAATGCTACTTCTTTAGACAAGCATCATTCGGTAAAAACTCTTTAATTCATACTCTGGTTACTTCCTTTAATTCCTGAGCTAAAGATGGGGCTAGGAGTTTGAGAAGCAAACAATCAAGTAGGTGTCAACAACGGAAGCCTTCCTTTTGCTGGTAATATACTCGAAGGCGTGACTGGTTATTCTGAAGAAAAATGTCTGTTCAGGAAAGAGCCAATCCAGGGAATGATAGCATTTCAGTTGCTTTAATGTGGGCCACTATATTTTGACATAAATCCAGTAGACTACCCCAACTTTGTGAGGGAAATCGGACTTATTCCTGTGTATACGGGAACAAACCAACTGTGCAGGTGTGAATAAGTATTATTAAATTACATTAATTTGATTTGTGGTGAATTTACATTGTCGCTGTTCTTGTAGACTTGACTTTGTGGGAACAATCTGACAGCTAGTCAGTCAACGCAGAACATTACGGAATATAGAAATACTGATTTCGCATTAAAAACTCAAGCCTATGTTGGGTGGATCAGAAAAAGACTGGGCAAAAATTAAAGTTTGGAGTCGGTTTCCCCACATACCTTTGTTATGTACGGCATTGGATATTACTCTTGATTTATAGGCAGATGGTTTAGTAGTTTAACGTGCATAATATATTTGCATCACTTCCTCAGCGGTGTAATCGTTAGATACCGTCAGAAGTAAGCTGTATTCCGTGCAGACAAACATCGGCCATAGCCATTCAGGTTTGTTTTACTACAGTAGAAGGCCTAAAGTTCCCCAGAGTCGGCCATTACCGCCATTTGTTGCCACATTGTATTCTGTACGCGTAAGTTGGTTAAGATATGGAAGACTGTTTGAAAACCAGTGGCATCTTCACTTTGGATCACGCGTACAGGATGATAGTAAGTGTCGTCAAATGGTAGATAAGGAGTTTCTAAGGATGTTGAGTTGTTATGAGCCATTGGCTTTAAGAATGTTGTGGTATATGTGTAACGACAGAAAGCGAGAGTCAGGCAACAGATAGTTAATTGCGAAAATCAAGAGATATTTATATATTTTATGAACATTACTATGGGTTATTGCTAGCAGAGCAAAAGCGTCTTCGGATCGGTTGTTCTCTTGCTGAAAGTTAGTCTAGCATATCTTTGTGGCCATTTATTTGAAGGTCATACCATATATACGCGAATCTAATCCACACACGCAAAGTCTTTGTTCTTGTTTCTGTCATGTCCAAGATTTGAGACGTAAATGTTGACATAAATTGCTTTGTACTAATTTGGCTAGCAGACAGTTGTCATCACATATGTACGTAAGTGGATTCAAGTCCTGTTCGACTTCAGTCTTACTGCAAGTATTTTCAACTTCCACTACAAGGCAAATAGTAGAAAAGAGGCAAGCAACAGAGTACCATAAAAGGACTAAGTGTGTGGGCATAAAGACAGAACTTTATCTATTTATATACGTGTTCACATTTTTACACATTGCTGTCAACCAAACATAAATATTGGTATTCTTTTCGTGTTTTTATACGTCTATAAAACTTGTCATTTTATCGCTTAAACAGAGTAATTAGTAAAGCTTTACGCTTTCTTTAAACGCATAAGTTCCCTGATATTTTATTCTTCTTAGAAAGAAATAAGGCTTTCGTATTGTTTCTGTAATCAGTAGGATGAGACGGTCTGTACGGAGAGCGCCTAAATTTTATGATGGAGTTTCAGGCTCTGATTTCTAAGAGTAAGCTGTTCCACATTTTAGAACATATGACGTAGTTTACACAGAGTGGTGAGTTAAAGGATTTTATTGTCAGAGCGCGCGCATGGTTACTCAGATATTAAGAGTCTTGCGGTGAGAATTGTATATCCTTATTATCTGAGGATGATATATTGTGTACGATCTTAAAGAAGAATATTAGCTGTATAATAAGTCGTCTCGTCCAAAGTGGGTCAGGATTTAGGGGGATACACCGTGAGATGTAGTTTTTCTTACAGTCGTACCCAAGTAGTTTGGACGTGAAATATCGCTGGACACTTTCTCTCTCTCTCACGTACGCGAGTGCTACTTATAATAAATGGACAGTATTCTAGTAGTGGCCTTCCCATATTTTGTATAGAATTAGTCTGGCTTCGTTGTCGTGAAAGTTCCTGAGTAGGCATCCTAAGAGCATCCTCGACTTTTGAGTCTGTGTAACCACTTGCTCAGAGAATGTTAGGTCACTACAGTACCTCAGGCCTAAGTCAAAGACACTTCAGAGTCTGATTAAGTTAGCAGATTGAAGCGTTAATTTCATATCAATTGAGGGTGCGCCAAAGCAGATCCAACCACATTTGTTCAGATTAAATTGTAGATTCCATAAAGATGACCAAGCAGTCACTTTATCTAATTCATTCTGTACAGAATTCTGGAAGCACCCTACGTTATCACATTGGAATGTATAAGCTACTTTTAGGCCATCTGCAAAGATGAATGGTTTCCCACGTGACAAGAAAACGCATATGTCGCTGATATAAAGTGTAAATCAGAGGGGCCCGATGATACCACTTTGTACTACACCAGAAGTGATTGGGTTAGGTGTGGAAGTTACAGACCCAAGTTTAACTATTTGGGATCTGTTGTTAAGGAATGATTTAAGCCATCCTAATGGTAGGTCACGTACTCCCAAGGAGTTCAGCTTATGTGCCGGCAGCAAGTGGCTGACGCAGTCAAATGCCTTGGAAATGTCAGAGTATACGACAAGTACTTGTTGTAGGCTGACATGGCTACTGGTCACAAAATTAATTAATGTTAAACATGATCTGAATTTTAGGAATCCATGTTGGTTTGGACTTAAAATATTGCAGCTATGCATATGTTTGAGTATCTTATCTTTAACTAGTCTCTCC